GCAGGAATTTAGAGGCATCAAATCTTAAGTTCTGGCACTTCACGTCTGATCTTCATTCCCAACTTATGAACAAATGTGAACTGGCTATCATGCCTAAACTGAACTTAGGATATTTCCTTGCAAGGTTAATAAAGAGCTGCAAGGTACTACATGATCTTTGAATCTGAAATTTACAAAGTTTCTGTTTTTAGCTGTGACTATCGATCTTACTTGCACATGCATGTATCTTGTTTTATCAATTTAACCATGAGGGGGCTAGCTTGATTTTCATTTTATATGTCAAGGTTGATTTAATAGTGTCCAATTTTGAATCATCATCTAATATATGATACATGTCATAGGGTGCAAGGCTATACATGCCTACGTTTCCTGAATTACATTACTGTATTACCTGATGACCCCTCATTACAAATTTCTCTCAAGTTCAGTTTTGCCTAATTGCGGAATCATGAGTTTACATTGTTGGTTTATTTAAACTTTATATCTATGCAGGAGCGTCTAAGACAGATGCAGTGTTCTCTATTGAGAGAGGAACAGATATAAGAGAACTTGTGATGACTCGTCAGGAAATGATCCAGGGCTTATGATACAACAATTCCACCAAGATAACTGGTATCAGGGACTGACCCATGTCCCAGCAATTGATAGACTGACGATACAGAGACTCCAAGCGACAGTATGAGACATTAACACAACACTACTGAGGTCAGTGTATTGCTCTGACATTCTTTGTTAGTATGATAATTATGTCGATTATTTATGTTCACTAAATTATACTTATAAATATCTTACTGTCATCAATACTAATAAAGGGATGGGCTACGAATGAAATGAACCTAACTTTTTAGTATTCTGTGATGATGTATGCCATTTCTATAGAGCCAATATCTCTAAATTGGGCCCATAATCTCTGTTGCATTTTCCTCTGCAATGATTAATTGTTGTGAAATATTTAAGCAATACTGCAGTTCATCCACGACGACTAGGTGTTCTGGAATCACAGAAGGTTAATCCTATTATAAAATTCTGCATTAATTCTTTGAACGTATTTTCTGTTTTGATTCAACAAAAGGAAAAAGTGTCCTATTGGTATGTTTTGAGATGTCTTCTTAATACGGTTCATATTGAGATTTCCATCATAAGGTCGTATTCTTTTATTCCAAACTGAGTTCATAGGGTCAAGATTTTTAAATGCTAAACCTTTATCGTTGCAGACAGCAGTCCGAGCCAACTGGCCAGGACAATAAATGTGTGACAGGAAACCTTTGCTATTAACTCATGAAGAATTCAGGTACGTAAAAGCTGTTTTTTTTCTCCCCTTAGAATATAAGTTTCTGGGTTAATTTCGTTTATAGCTGCCTTTCTCCATGTCCATTTTGGCGGTAGTAATTTTTATTGTTATTTTAACATGAATCAACCATCGAGGATGGTATATGGAATAATAAAAGCATCAACCAGGTTATAGTCATTTGTTTGAGAATGCAGTACTAAAGTATGAATCCATGGATCTAGAGGTTTACTTTACAGTACCACCCAGAGTTGACAAAAACGAAACTTCTATCCAGCACTATTCCTATTGGCACTCTAGAGGCTCAGATTTACACTCTTAATGGTGTTTTAGGTCGGTCAATGACTCAATGTAATGTCGAAAGCCTTTCTTACTCGAGTCAGGCATGCTTCTTGAAGGTCGTGTTTAATCCCAAAGCAATCACCTACGATGTAATATAGAAACTTTGCCATTTGGATTGGAGAGTTCATTCACCCTTGCCCCTTGGACATAAGTGAAATCATCCTGCCTTTGACTTGTAATCTCGACTTATTTTATTGATATTCAAATCTAAAACAGCCTGATAGCTTGTACCCTTGTAGTGGCAACATCCTTTTGAAACCACTTAGAGGAAGACTTTCGATACTTAAATACCACTACGGTAGGCTTCGCGCTTGTCACGGGAAGAATCCATTGCCTTTTGAAACAAAGTAGGTTTCGGAAGCTACCATTTGACTGTCGCATAATTTTTTTTTCGGTTGGAAGTGGGTCATATTCTGGTTGTTTCCATACTTTTTCAAACTTGCACCTTCATATTCTAGTTGTTTCGACTTCATGGCTTTTATCGCTGACCATTTTTTTTTTTTATGGATTGAAAGTCTCTACAAAATTTATAATACATGATGGACGCTTGCCTTAATAGACCAAATAATTCAGGTCCATTTGATTACTTTTTTTGTTGCTCTGTTTTATGAAAAATTAGAAATCATATATGTTTGATGAAAACACTAATGCTTTTTAAAAACAAAAAAAGAGAATAGCGTTTGATACCATTTTTTATTTTTTGAAGATGAAAAAGCTATGATTAAACAAAACTCTTTAACTGTATTGTTAACTAATAAAAATTATATTTTAAAACTTTATTAGGTTTAATCGACAGTCAATCATTTTTTTTTTTAGTTGGAATAAAATGGTTTCATTTTAGAAAATGTACTGTTAAAATGTTTTTGAAAGGAATAAATAAAATGTTTCCTTAGCCTAAAACAATTTTGTTATTAAAAATATTATTTTTAGTGAGATGAGAGATTGAACTCTATTTTAAGCTCTTGTTTTTCAAGGAATAAGTTTTTCAATAAAATATTTCATTGCTCGTCAAATTTGGAGTATTAAAATGTTTTAATCATTGAGTTAAGTCCTCTTTTTTATTTAAAAGAAATAAATGAGATGTTTGTCAGATTTGGTAGGGATGTTTATTCCATTTTTCCTTGTTTCGTTTGTGGTATATGTGAGCTTGTCTTGAAATTTTTTACAGGCTTGGCGTCTACAGAACGGGAGAAAAATAGTTTCTGGACGCTGGCATCACACACATCTCCATCCAAAGAAAAGAATATGATTAGTAATGCATCATCATCAAAGAAGCAGCTAGAAGGAAAATCTTCAGAACCAAAATGTTTGCCAGAAAGCCCCTACATAATACATTTTTTCTCACATAACCCCTCCTCGAAGTGTCACCTGCCTTTCACGACGGGTGGAGCTCTGTAATAAGCTGCAACAGTCGCGGGAAAAAACATCTGCCTCACTCCTTCGGCCTTGATAATCGGAAAAATAATGGACGATGCACCCTGCAAGTGCACATGAAGCGGAAGTTCCATTTTCCAACACGTAAATGCATTATTAAATATCTAACTCTCTCTGTTTTCTATTTTGTTTATTTTATTTTTTTTGGACACACTCCATTTTTTATTTAATTTTTTTCAAATCTTTATTGCATAATTTATATCCATAAGCTATTTGTTGACGTATCAAAAATGGATCTCTGAAAATCATACATAATATATATATATAATCAATTAATTAATAATTGTTCATGTTAAATAATTGATTTCTGATAAGTACTAACGGAGCAAATATTTCATCTTTGTATTATAATGTTACAAATTCTAACCCATTAGTCCCAATACCATTAGTCCCGATACCATCAATTACTTGAGCAAGTTTTTAAAGTTTAGTCAAGAATTTAAAAATATTTCCCAAAAAAAAAGAGAAGTAGATAAAATTAACATGGTTTTTAACAAATATTTTTAAAAATCATTATCGAACAAAATATTAATGGTTGGTCCCAAGCTTTTAAAAAACTATAAAATTTATCATTTCTTATACTCTCTGCTTTTGAAAAATACATTTACCAACTTAAAGACTATTAAAAAAATATTTCGGTACTACTTTTTTCACTTTAGGTATGATTTCAGGAAAACTTTCTTAAGAGAGACAGCAATTATTAGTCTTTAATAACATGCTTCTAGAAAAACAAAACCGAATATGATTGACAAGTTATAAGATCTTGTTAATATTTAAGAACATTTATTTTGTTATTAAATACGACAGTAAAAGCAATATTAAAAAAATATATTAAATCAAAACCATTTACGTAACAGAATTGACCTTAGTATTAATTTGATTTAAGTTAATCCTATTAAGTAACGTAAGTTAAACGCTTTTGTTTTATCCCATTAAAAATTAGCTTTGGTTTTTTATGTAATTGGATTCAAATGTTATAAAAAATAAGAGAGCATTAGAAGCACTTACCGAAATAATTTTGGCTCCGATCCAGACGCGTTTGGGTGAAGGAAATGGGATGAGCAACCGGCCAACACCGTATATCGCCACCGCAAAGAAATGTAGAACCAAGCTCAACGGGCGAGGGTTCAACCCAGAGAGCAAAGAAACTGGTCCATTCGAGAAGATTCCTCCAAGGCTTAAATAATCGAAGCAAGCCTGACGCATTTCCTTTCTAGCTTGATCTGGTGATGCACAAAAGACCTTGTAAAGTGCACCTGCCAACGTGTTTATTGTCGAAGCCACTGGCTGCAAAAGTACACAAACAAAAACAAACTCATTAGTCTTACAAAAGATTTAAGAAAAAAGGCCTGTGGCGGGTTCCATAAACTAAATTTACCTTACGAAGAGTGTAGAATGCTTCGAGATACTTGCTGAGAGTGGGTGCATCATTCAGATCACGCAGAGGCTTGAGAAGGTCCCTAAGAACAACAATGTCAGACAATGCGACGGTCATTCCCCCGCCAGTCAGAGGATGACGCATATTGAACGCATCGCCCATCAACAGGGCGCCGGGTGTAGGATAAGGATCGGCGGGCATACTCCTGTTTGGCATTGTTCTGATGTTACCCTTATCAATGGCAGCCACGAAGGCATCATAAAGTTGAGAAGGAATCTGTGTGCGATAAAACTTCATATGGTCATTAAATTGGTTGTGAGATTTATCAACGTCGAGAATTATGGGTGAAGAAAAATCRTAGATAAAGACTAATAGGGAAAGAGGAGGGAGAATGTTCGCACCTGAGGAGCAACAACATTCTTCAAATAGTTAGCCATTTCACCGTTTGAAATGGAAGGGACTTTCTGACCGGGCACATCCACCAAACAGCGGATCTCTGTACTGCTAATTGGGTAGAACAAAATGGGAGAAGGGTCTGCTAGTATAACATGTCCGTGATTTGCATAAGGAAGGTCGCAATTCTCAAGTACGAGGCCAACAAAACAAGAGGGAACATCTACCTGAAAAAGATTCGWGTATTTAAAATACAATATCTCAACAAAAATAAGGCTTGAGCCACTGAGCGTAGAATAATTAGTTGAGTTGGAAAGATAAAAGAAAGCAGCAGAATATGTTTCTATCATTCTGAAGAATTGAAGGGTGTTCACACCTTGGGRTTGCAAAGAGAGCGTCGCAAATTTGAAAAGCAACCGTCACAAACAATCGTCAGAGGAGCATAAGCGGTCATCTCTTGGCCAGATTTGTTTTTGTATTGCACGCCTTTAATTGTACCATTTTCCTCGAGCAGAGAAGTGACTGTTCCCTGCTCCAAGCGCACACTGGAAAGGTAGAGGAATGAATTAGTAGACGAATATATAATAAATCTTAAATAAAGCACGAGGAGAATGCTTTGTAAAAAGAAAGATATCAGTATAATTATGAACTCAATCTTAATAGAAAGATGTACGCTTCAGGAGAGTCTAATGAATGTTAATTCTCAACTCTCAATAATGAATGTTACATTGACTCCAATGGCATCTTGGTCACTACTCCAGCATTAAAGCAACTCTTGTGAACTTCAGAACTACATACTACATATATGCATCACTCAGATTTTAATAGGAAATTAGGAATTACATTTATATCAGATGAAGATAAATAAATGCAACATCAAAGGACATAAGCATGAGTATGTGAGACTCGTCAGTAGGCCTAGACACACTACAAGAAACAATGATGATACAACGCTGTATGAAAATTTAGCTGAGGAAGGGAATTACTTGSGCAAGGCTGCGGCCTTCTCGCGCATCCTCTGAATGAAGCGCCCATTGTGGAAGCTTCTCCCAGACACATCCGAATGAAATTTTTCCAATGGATAGGAGAGTCTAGTATCCTTTCCATCCTTAAAAAGAGCATAACCATACACTCGTTGGGCATCAATATCATCCACACAATCTGCATCGGAAACAGTATATTTCTCATTCAACAACCAATTCTAGTTTATTCAAAGGCTCAGAAGAAGATGTATGCCTATAAAAGTCGTGGCAAGGAAACAACAATATATTAATGAATTAATCAACCTTCAAGTCCCAACTCTGTTAACTTAAGATAGCCCCCAGGTTGTAATAATTCACCAACAATTCTGTCCGGCTCTGTCAAATCTCTTTCAATCACATGTACTCGACGACCATCCTGCATTTCAAAAAAGAACATAAATATATAACATCCACTAAGCTATAGTCGGGTAAAAATGGGGGAAAATCTGAGAGACCCCAATTACTCAAGTATATGTACGTAGGAAATTGAGGGGCAAGGGACATGTAAGGAGTAGAAGGAGTGTGTCCGTTTATTGTGGGCCCGGAATATTGTYAGTTATAGGGGTTTAAACACACTGTTTTTTAGTAAGGAGAGGTCCTATGTTTTTTTTTTCCTTTTTTTGTGAGACTTTTACTGAATGGTTGAGTGAGAGCGGGGAACTCTCGAAGTTTCCCTCATTTCGGCATTGTTGCATAAGTAAAGGTGGATCATACCAATATCCTTTAACATAAAGAAAATGACTAAAATGATGTTTCACCCATTCATAAAAATTTTGCAACAACTACATAAGCTAACAGATAAATCGATATGGAAGGAGTGCCAAAAATAAAAGCCAACTAATATAAATGTACAATTACGGGAACAAATGTTAATTAGATGCAGAGCAGGGCATAGAAATAAATTCTCATGCATTCTCCAGATACATAAACATGATTTTTGTCGTATGAATTTCTGTGGCAGCTGACCAACCAGAAAGTAGTGCAATAACAGGTTGGCTGTCAAATTTGACAACGAAAAAACAGACTGACTGCAGAATCGCAGATGACAAGTCCATTCTCCATTTCTCTAATGCCCTTTTTTCCCCCTTAGCTTCCACAATTGACAGCAAACTATTAAAGTGCAGAGGGCATCTTTGAATTATCTAAAGACGTGCACGGAGCTCTGTATTTATAAGAAGTGTTTTTGGAATGAAACATCTTTCTTCCAAGCACTTTCAAAAGAGGGAGAAAGGAAGACTTAATTTAGGGCCTCTCAAATGTTCCTACTCTTTTAAGCGTTCTTTCTTTGTCTTTTTCTCTTTCATTAAGATTTATGTGCAACAAAATACTTCTAAACTTTTTAGAGTGATTCAGTTAGGCAAAGCTTAAAATCACTCTGACTATTTGGAAAAACACCGCCAAACACTCTCCTAAATTAATTTGAACTGAAAAAATCATTGACGTTCGAGAATTTGATTCCGTTTCACCACGTATCAAGAAGTATTCGAGAAATCTGAAACAAAAATAAACATAAAAACAAACAGGAAATGACATGATAGGTATTTCTCTCAAAAATATTAATAAAAAGTATTTCATTCAAGAAGACAGCAGGATTGTTCTTGAATCAAGTGATTGAACTTTAGAATCTGGATATGCACAATCTCCGGATTAAAAAATAACTTCTCTCGGAAACATATCACTCTTAATGTTTCAGAAATTCTTATACGCAGAGTAGAAACTCTAGTCTAAATCATAAATGAAATACAAAATAATTTTCTATTGAGAATATGCGATTCTCGATACAATGAATTTCTATATATTACACATAAATCCAGTGCATGTTTCAGAATCCGCCTGAGTTTCAGAATAAATAATCAAATAAAAGTAAATCCGATCTGTGGTTACATAAGCGACAGCAGAGCATAAAATGGTTGTACTGGCTTAACAAGATACTGCCATATAATACTTGCTTTCTGAACGATGATGGCCAACTATAACGCGAAAAATGCCATCTAAAAAGAGAATCTAAGAACAAAATATGCACAAAAC